CTCTCATTCATGTGCCCGTCTCTCTGTCATTCATGTACCCGTCTCACTCTCTCATTCATGTACCCGTCTCACTCTCTCATTCATGCACCGTCTCACTCTCTCATTCATGTACCTGTCTCACTCTCTCATGTATCTGTCTCACTCTCTCATTCATGCACCGTCTCACTCTCTCATTCATGTACCCGTCTCACTCTCATTCATGTACCCGTCTCACTCTCATTCATGTACCCGTCTCACTCTCATTCATGTACCCGTCTCACTCTCATTCATGTACCCGTCTCACTCTCATTCATGTACCCGTCTCACTCTCATTCATGTACCCGTCTCACTCTCATTCATGTACCCGTCTCACTCTCATTCATGTACCCGTCTCACTCTCATTCATGTACCCGTCTCACTCTCATTCATGTACCCGTCTCACTCTCATTCATGTACCCGTCTCACTCTCATTCATGTACCCGTCTCACTCTCATTCATGTACCCGTCTCACTCTCATTCATGTACCCGTCTCACTCTCATTCATGTACCCGTCTCACTCTCATTCATGTACCCGTCTCACTCTCATTCATGTACCCGTCTCACTCTCATTCATGTACCCGTCTCACTCTCATTCATGTACCCGTCTCACTCTCATTCATGTACCCGTCTCACTCTCATTCATGTACCCGTCTCACTCTCATTCATGTACCCGTCTCACTCTCATTCATGTACCCGTCTCACTCTCATTCATGTACCCGTCTCACTCTCATTCATGTACCCGTCTCACTCTCATTCATGTACCCGTCTCACTCTCATTCATGTACCCGTCTCACTCTCATTCATGTACCCGTCTCACTCTCATTCATGTACCCGTCTCACTCTCATTCATGTACCCGTCTCACTCTCATTCATGTACCCGTCTCACTCTCATTCATGTACCCGTCTCACTCTCATTCATGTACCCGTCTCACTCTCATTCATGTACCCGTCTCACTCTCATTCATGTACCCGTCTCACTCTCATTCATGTACCCGTCTCACTCTCATTCATGTACCCGTCTCACTCTCATTCATGTACCCGTCTCACTCTCATTCATGTACCCGTCTCACTCTCATTCATGTACCCGTCTCACTCTCATTCATGTACCCGTCTCACTCTCATTCATGTACCCGTCTCACTCTCATTCATGTACCCGTCTCACTCTCATTCATGTACCCGTCTCACTCTCATTCATGTACCCGTCTCACTCTCATTCATGTACCCGTCTCACTCTCATTCATGTACCCGTCTCACTCTCATTCATGTACCCGTCTCACTCTCATTCATGTACCCGTCTCACTCTCATTCATGTACCCGTCTCACTCTCATTCATGTACCCGTCTCACTCTCATTCATGTACCCGTCTCACTCTCATTCATGTACCCGTCTCACTCTCATTCATGTACCCGTCTCACTCTCATTCATGTACCCGTCTCACTCTCATTCATGTACCCGTCTCACTCTCATTCATGTACCCGTCTCACTCTCATTCATGTACCCGTCTCACTCTCATTCATGTACCCGTCTCACTCTCATTCATGTACCCGTCTCACTCTCATTCATGTACCCGTCTCACTCTCATTCATGTACCCGTCTCACTCTCATTCATGTACCCGTCTCACTCTCATTCATGTACCCGTCTCACTCTCATTCATGTACCCGTCTCACTCTCATTCATGTACCCGTCTCACTCTCATTCATGTACCCGTCTCACTCTCATTCATGTACCCGTCTCACTCTCATTCATGTACCCGTCTCACTCTCATTCATGTACCCGTCTCACTCTCATTCATGTACCCGTCTCACTCTCATTCATGTACCCGTCTCACTCTCATTCATGTACCCGTCTCACTCTCATTCATGTACCCGTCTCACTCTCATTCATGTACCCGTCTCACTCTCATTCATGTACCCGTCTCACTCTCATTCATGTACCCGTCTCACTCTCATTCATGTACCCGTCTCACTCTCATTCATGTACCCGTCTCACTCTCATTCATGTACCCGTCTCACTCTCATTCATGTACCCGTCTCACTCTCATTCATGTACCCGTCTCACTCTCATTCATGTACCCGTCTCACTCTCATTCATGTACCCGTCTCACTCTCATTCATGTACCCGTCTCACTCTCATTCATGTACCCGTCTCACTCTCATTCATGTACCCGTCTCACTCTCATTCATGTACCCGTCTCACTCTCATTCATGTACCCGTCTCACTCTCATTCATGTACCCGTCTCACTCTCATTCATGTACCCGTCTCACTCTCATTCATGTACCCGTCTCACTCTCATTCATGTACCCGTCTCACTCTCATTCATGTACCCGTCTCACTCTCATTCATGTACCCGTCTCACTCTCATTCATGTACCCGTCTCACTCTCATTCATGTACCCGTCTCACTCTCATTCATGTACCCGTCTCACTCTCATTCATGTACCCGTCTCACTCTCATTCATGTACCCGTCTCACTCTCATTCATGTACCCGTCTCACTCTCATTCATGTACCCGTCTCACTCTCATTCATGTACCCGTCTCACTCTCATTCATGTACCCGTCTCACTCTCATTCATGTACCCGTCTCACTCTCATTCATGTACCCGTCTCACTCTCATTCATGTACCCGTCTCACTCTCATTCATGTACCCGTCTCACTCTCATTCATGTACCCGTCTCACTCTCATTCATGTACCCGTCTCACTCTCATTCATGTACCCGTCTCACTCTCATTCATGTACCCGTCTCACTCTCATTCATGTACCCGTCTCACTCTCATTCATGTACCCGTCTCACTCTCATTCATGTACCCGTCTCACTCTCATTCATGTACCCGTCTCACTCTCATTCATGTACCCGTCTCACTCTCATTCATGTACCCGTCTCACTCTCATTCATGTACCCGTCTCACTCTCATTCATGTACCCGTCTCACTCTCATTCATGTACCCGTCTCACTCTCATTCATGTACCCGTCTCACTCTCATTCATGTACCCGTCTCACTCTCATTCATGTACCCGTCTCACTCTCATTCATGTACCCGTCTCACTCTCATTCATGTACCCGTCTCACTCTCATTCATGTACCCGTCTCACTCTCATTCATGTACCCGTCTCACTCTCATTCATGTACCCGTCTCACTCTCATTCATGTACCCGTCTCACTCTCATTCATGTACCCGTCTCACTCTCATTCATGTACCCGTCTCACTCTCATTCATGTACCCGTCTCACTCTCATTCATGTACCCGTCTCACTCTCATTCATGTACCCGTCTCACTCTCATTCATGTACCCGTCTCACTCTCATTCATGTACCCGTCTCACTCTCATTCATGTACCCGTCTCACTCTCATTCATGTACCCGTCTCACTCTCATTCATGTACCCGTCTCACTCTCATTCATGTACCCGTCTCACTCTCATTCATGTACCCGTCTCACTCTCATTCATGTACCCGTCTCACTCTCATTCATGTACCCGTCTCACTCTCATTCATGTACCCGTCTCACTCTCATTCATGTACCCGTCTCACTCTCATTCATGTACCCGTCTCACTCTCATTCATGTACCCGTCTCACTCTCATTCATGTACCCGTCTCACTCTCATTCATGTACCCGTCTCACTCTCATTCATGTACCCGTCTCACTCTCATTCATGTACCCGTCTCACTCTCATTCATGTACCCGTCTCACTCTCATTCATGTACCCGTCTCACTCTCATTCATGTACCCGTCTCACTCTCATTCATGTACCCGTCTCACTCTCATTCATGTACCCGTCTCACTCTCATTCATGTACCCGTCTCACTCTCATTCATGTACCCGTCTCACTCTCATTCATGTACCCGTCTCACTCTCATTCATGTACCCGTCTCACTCTCATTCATGTACCCGTCTCACTCTCATTCATGTACCCGTCTCACTCTCATTCATGTACCCGTCTCACTCTCATTCATGTACCCGTCTCACTCTCATTCATGTACCCGTCTCACTCTCATTCATGTACCCGTCTCACTCTCATTCATGTACCCGTCTCACTCTCATTCATGTACCCGTCTCACTCTCATTCATGTACCCGTCTCACTCTCATTCATGTACCCGTCTCACTCTCATTCATGTACCCGTCTCACTCTCATTCATGTACCCGTCTCACTCTCATTCATGTACCCGTCTCACTCTCATTCATGTACCCGTCTCACTCTCATTCATGTACCCGTCTCACTCTCATTCATGTACCCGTCTCACTCTCATTCATGTACCCGTCTCACTCTCATTCATGTACCCGTCTCACTCTCATTCATGTACCCGTCTCACTCTCATTCATGTACCCGTCTCACTCTCATTCATGTACCCGTCTCACTCTCATTCATGTACCCGTCTCACTCTCATTCATGTACCCGTCTCACTCTCATTCATGTACCCGTCTCACTCTCATTCATGCACCCGTCTCTCTGTCATTCATGT